CATGACCAGTCCATACCTCTTCTGCAACTTTCCCAGCCAGAGATGCCCTTGGCGATCTGTTGATAAGGTAACACGCCATGTTAACAGCCTCAGCCTAGAAGTGTTTGGGAAGCCCCGCATTCAACCGCAAACATCTGGCTCTTTCATTCAACGACCTGTTCATTCGTTCCGCAACACCATTCTGTTGTGGTGTCTTGCGCACTGTAAAATGCCTCTGAATCCCATGCTCCTTACAGAATTGTAGGAACTGTGAATCTGTGTACTCCGTACCATTGTCAGACCGCAAACACTTGATTTTTCGTCCTGTTTGGTTTTCTACCTCAGCTTTCCACAGCTTGAACTTCTCAAAAACTTCAGATTTCTGTTTCAAAAAATACACCCAAACTTTCTGTGAAAAATCATCAATAAAAGTAACATAGTACCTAGATCCACCCAAAGACGATGTCGTGGAAGGCCCCCATACATCAGAATGCACATAATAAAGAATCCCTTGAGTTGTGTGCTTCGCAGTCTTGAAACGGACTTTAGTCTGTTACCAAGAACACAATACTTGCAAAAATCGAGCTTACAGCTTTTGACACCATGTAACAAGTTTCTCTTGTGTAATTCTGCCATACCACGTTCACTAAGATGAGCAAGGCGCATATGCCACAATTTTGTCGTATCATCACAGGACTCAACAGAGTAAACTCCACCTGCAACGGTACTCCCTAACAATCTGTAGATATTCCCTGCAGTCATCTTGCCTTTCATCACAGTCAATGCTCATTTAACAATCCGAATGGTTTCCCTATCCTCGTCAGCCTTAGGGATAAAACCATTCTTGTGCAAAGTGCCCAAGGAATTCAAATTCTTCTTCAAGTCTGGGATATGTCGAACACCACTCAACGTCCGAACGGAGCCATCGTGCATCTTAATTCTGACATCACCAATACCAATAATATTGCAACATCGATCATCACCCAAATAAACCGAACCAGAATTAACCGGCCTGTATGTCGAAAACCATTCCCTATTTGGCGTGATGTGATAAGAACATCCAGAATCAAGAATCCAAGCATCCGTCAATTGTGTCGTTGAAATAGAAAGCATATCACCCTCACTGCAATCAGAAGTATCATCCTCGACCACGTTCACAGACTTGGATGAGCCATCACGCTTCTCATCAGTCTGCTTTTTCAACTTCGGACAGTCTCACTTCATATGTCCCGCCTCCTTGCACTTGTAACAGTGAATCGTCTTCTTATCCCTGGATTTGGATCTGGAATTCCGCTTCCCAGACCCTGCCTTCTCTGGCTTCCGTCCATGATCTCGATTACCCTTGACATATAAGCTATCGGCTTGAGAGCTTTCCCCTGCATTCTGCTTCCGCTGGTTGTGAGCCAACAAGGCTGCAGTAATCTCCTCAACGTTGATAGTCTCTTTCCCATATGTAAGAGTAGTCACCATGTGTTCGTAAGAGGGAGGCAACGAACACAACAGAATCATCGCTCTGTCTTCATCCTCAATTTTCACATCAAGCCGAGCCAGATCAGAAAAGATTTGATTGAAGACATTCACGTGTTGCGCCAAATCGTGATCGCCCTGCATCTTCAGCCCATACAGCCGCTGCTTCAGATACAGTTTTGTCGTTAAGGATGTGGACATAAACTGACTTTCCAACTTCCTCCAAATTTCATCTGGAGACGATAGATGCATGACGTGATACATGACCTCGTCCGCCAAGCATAATCGTATGGTTCCTGCAGCTCGCTGCTGCAATTCTTCCCAATCTTCCTCATCCATCGACGCCGGCTTTGTAGGTCGCAAAGCCTTCAATATCCATTGCTGCGCCAATAGATCATTCACCCTCGTTTGCCATAATCCGAAGTTACCCTGACCATCGAATTTCGCGACTTCGAATTTTGCTGCTGACATCTGATACCAATTGTTGACGAAAACGGGTAAAGAAATCGAAAGAACACGAGAATTTTACGAGGTTCGACAATGTGCTTACGTCCTCGGTGCCTAGGCGGCGCTAGAAGTTTTATTCAATGATTTTAGGTCTAGGTTACATCTCTATTTATAATAGGAACAGTTGATGTTCGCTTCGCTCACTCCGCTCCATCTCCTGTCCTCTTTACTGGTATATTTATGAGCCATACCTAACAAGTTTAAATTCGCCCGTTAATATAAAATTCCGCATCTGTCACTGATAGTAAATAAGATTTTGTCACCATTGCCCTCATGAACCCTATTTGGATCAAGAACTTCCACAGACTTTCATTCCATACAATGCTTTGGAAAGCCTGTTCACATAACGCGAACATTTCAAGTTAATGAGGACTTGTTTATTCGTTATCGTATTAATTTTTGACTCACACTAGGAACAAACCCATTAGAGAGAAGATTAGTATCAGAAATGCTTACATAAAAGCAACGCGATCGAAAATACAATCGCAACTATAATTTAAATCGCTCATTTAGACTCCTTTCGATCGCTCTCGAACATAAATTCGACGCCCCAAAATATCTCGGATACAATGCAATAGAAATTACGTCAGAAACGGAATTTAATCGGAAAAACAAATCGAATCATAAGATAAAAAGCTGAAAAACAGTTTAGCTGGTTCAAATTTAGTGAAATACCAATATTGCTCCTACGTTCGTTTTTCTCAAAGTATTGATGTCCGACACATAGATAAGGAGACATTAACTGACGATGAGCACCAAATACGTGGGAAAACTTACAGAGACAAAATGCACTCACACTCGAAAGAAAACCCGATAACTAATGCACCAGAAATCAAAATCAAGCAAGAAGTTTTAATCAATCAGAATATGAACTACAACTTTGACATCAATTACTGAGATGAAAAACTGAATCAAAGGCTCACAGGCATAACAAAATTCAAGATCGAATTCGGGACTAGTCGAAATGTAAATCGAAAAACAACAAAAGGGGATCCTTATTTCCATACAAACAAACAAAAATCATTCAAAACGATTCAAACGATTCAAAAAAAAAATGAAAATTTCAAGAATTCTGATTAAAAATACAGAAAAAGTCAAACTTTGACAGCAAAGCAATGATTTTCAACACACAAACAGGGTAAATAAGAAAAACCCAGATTTAAGATAACAACTTGGGAAGTGAATATGCTGTATTTTAAAGCTTATGAGCTCAAAAACCCCATGCTCATACTTTAATGACATTTGCATGGCATAAGCCATAAAACATGGGGAAAAAACTTTAAAAAAAACCCAAGTTTTTAATTACACCATATGCTGCTTAGAGAGAGAAACTTACAGCAGTAAAGGGTGGGATTGATTGAAGTCTCTGTGCCTGAAACTTGGGGTTTTAAATTTATAATTAATGGAGGAGCTAGTCAATGTCAATGGTGGGGTTTAATTTTGAGGATAATTTATAAATTTCATCACTAAATTTTACTCTCTCTCTCATTTTACTCACTGAACTTTAAAAGTTTTAATTTTTCACTAAACTTAATATACTGAATTTTTTAGTCACCCATCATTAAACAGTTAACAGCGTCAAAACAATATTTTTTTAAGAAAATAAAATTTTCACAAAAATGACATCGTTTTGTATCTACATAAAAACCTATTTATAACGTCGTTAGTAATAAAATGACTGAGTGAGTAAGTGGCCAAAGAAACCCAATATATTAAGTTCAGTGAAGAAATTAAAAAAAAATTAAAGTACAATAAGTGAAATAAGAGAGACAGTAAAATTTAGATATCAAATTTGTAATTTACCCTAAGTTTAATCGAAAAAGAAAAGAATAAAGTGAATCTATTGGAAATTAAGTTCAATTTAAAGTACAATATTCATTTTCCTTTTTTGAATGGAAAATTTTGCTTTACAAGATTCTTCCCAGAAGCCACAAGGTACAATAAGTCTTCAAATTAGTTTAGAAATATCAATTGTTTTCAATTAAAAATGCTAATTAAGTATTATTTTGATTATTTGATTGTTCAGTATTAATGATTTTTTTTATTTACAATACATGGTGTCATGATACAACGTTATCACATGGTATCTGTACAATTTTTAAAGTAAAACATTGAAAATGCATATGTATTATGAGATGATTTAGGAGCACGTGGTTCAAATTTGACAAAAAATGAACTTAAAATGAATGAGGAATTGAATGAATAATGATATCAAGGACTAAATCGTAAAACAGTCAAAATACTAATTCAAGTTTTTGAATAAATCGAAATTTCAAAATTTCAAATCAACTTGAACTCGAAAACTGAATTGATAATTCGAGTTGACTCGAATAACTCAAAATTATAAAAAGAAATTTGATTTTCGAGTCGAGTCAAGTTTTGCTCACCCCTACTTTCTATTCGAGTTATAGATATATACATATATGTTTATTATTTGATCCATATATTTTATAAAAATTAAAAGTTTAAATACTAAAACGGAGTAAATTTTATAGTTTGGGTACTAAACACGTTAAGTTTTTAACAGTGAGATACTAAAATGAAACAAAAATTCAACGTTAGGTATAATTTAAAACAAATAAGTTTAGATACTAAAACAAACTAAAATTGATAGTTTAGGTACTAAATACATAATTTACCCTTAAGTATGTTGTGCCCAACATTAACATTCATTTATAAATTACTTTGCGGGTTGAATGTGTAATAAAAACTGTGTAAGAAATATTCTTAAATTGACATTCAAATCAAATCATACAAATCCAAATAAATTGACATTGAAACATAATCACACAAATCCATTAATCACACACTAATAACACTCATAGATAAAGCTCACTCAAAGTTTTCCAGCCCTCGAAGCAGTAGGAACGAAATGCGAAATCCTTTGAATTCTGTAACACCTCTAAACCTTCCATTTTGAGCCAAACACATCTACAATCATCAACACCATTGAAGTTAATGTCAATGGATGCAAATAAGACAATGCCATCTCAGCAATCAACCATAACAATGGCTCTATGATTACCTGAACAACTTACCCGAACATTTTAGATGAGTATAGGCCAACGAAATTCGAAGTGAGCAATATAGTTGCACGTAGACTCAGTACACTTGAGAATTTCTCTTCGGCAACGCTGACCGCATGAGGAGCAGTTAGGGTAGTCCTCAGCCGTCCTATGAAACTGAACATCATGATGATGTCCGTGAAAAGAATAAGGCAATGTGATCCCATCCTTGAGAAATGGAAATTCTCCAAGAATACAATCGGGATGAGCAGAAGTATCACAGATGGAACAACAATAATACCAGAGGCTCGGGTCTCTTTTTACTTCACATATATCACAATGAAGATGCTTTGAATAATCATTATCATCGTGATAGGTGAGGTTCAGCTGGTGTTGATCAATTTTGTGAACAGCTGATTGTGGTAATGATAAGCATTTGAAATCCAAAGCAAAACTGCACTTTCCACATCTGAATGCACCTTCTTCACCTGGGTCAGCGCCACAACCATTGCATCGCTCCCTGCATTTGATATCATAAAACAACAAGTGCTCGTGTCCTTGAAATTCAATCACGTCAGGTACTTCAGCACACCTTAAACAAATGTAGAATCCTCTGATAACGTAGAAGAAACCGCTACAAGGTCGTTTGCACAAGTCACACCGCCCGAAGCTTGTGGAGTCGAGAGTGGCAGGAGATCGACGAAACCAATGACGCTTTACTCTTGGCAGCTCGGCACAGTTTTTGTGGAGATAGAAATGGCATTCTGATTCAGAACAATAATAAAACAGAGTTGAGACAGGTAGCATGCACCCATCACATCTTCTATCAGTTTCCTCCTCCATCTTGTCTGCTAACACCATGCAATGACCTTCATGGCTGAAATGTTCAATCTTTGTGGCTTCCCCATCTTCGCTCACCTCAACAACGCGAGTGATGGAAGACTGCGTAGACTCAGCTGAACTTCCATAGAGCTCCTCGCATTGGCTTTCTCGCTCAACCACCTCGTAAAATCTGTCATCCTCCAAGGCACAATTAACGTGAACAATGTACTTGCAACCAGACTTCACACAAGAGTAACTCCCACGGTCAAGCTTCACTTCATTGAAGCAAATCTTACAATCTTGCTTTGTAAGATCTTGTGTTTCAAGAAAATATTTGTGAGAAAGACAATGATCATGTCGTGAAAATTTGATAATACGTGGGAGTGAAATGCAATCTTTGTGGACTGTGATGCTGCATGTAGAACATGTATAAGACATATAGTTCCCCTCAGTACTACATGCATCACAAATGAATTGACTTCTTCTCCAAAATAATGTGAATGAGTGTTGATGGTGGCTTTTAACTTCAACAATGGATCTCGGCCAAACACATATAATATTGATATTAAAATTACAAAGAGAACAATAATAAAAATATCCAGGATGTTGCTTTTGGCATAGCTTGCAAAAGGAATCAGTCACATTAGAGTCAAGAAAAAGAGAGTGTATTAGATGGGAAGGGTGATGAATTTTAGCAGGTAACTCATCAAAGCATTTTTTATGGAAAACAAACGATGGGCATTGAAAACAAAAGTAAAAAGCATCTATTAATGGTTGATGACACCAAAAGCAGTTGAATCTTTTGAATTCATCCATGGGACTTGGAATGAAGGTCAATGGATGTGGGTGGAAGTCATGTTTGGACTCTTGGTTGACTTTACTAAATGAAGAAGACAAATCAGCGCATTTGATGTCAAGGGAAAAGTAACAATTACGACATTCATAAAAGAACATGTTGCGTTTCTCCTTGCATAATTCACAACCATATACCTCATCACCAGGATATGGCCTTTCTCGAAGAAAAAAATCAGAGTGCTTGGGATGGAGAGGGTGACTGGAAATTCTCTCGGGTGCGAGGGCACAGTTGAGATGAAGGTGATAATTGCAGGGTGGACAACTAAAGTATGGATCTGAAATCACATCCCCACAGGCTGAGCAGTAAGCTTTCTCACCTTCAGTGCTTTGATCTTCCACAAACACCAAGGGATGCTCATGAAAAGGATGCTTAATATCTCTTCTTCTCCATCTCCATTTGTGTTCTGTGAGTAATGAATGAGATGGCAGTGAATGATGACTTCTTGTTCTAACAATAAATAGGAATTTCTTAAAAAAAAAAGTATTTCTAACATTAATCTTGGCAAGTAAGGTACAAACAAGAGTGACTTGAATTGAAAGCTAAAGTATCCTAAAGACTCACTCTTCTCTTTGGTCAAAGCATTGTGCTTTGCTTATTTGCAAGAACAACCCTTTTCCTTTTGCTAGAACTCATAACAATTAAAAATTTTCAATAGCTTCTCCATAATTTTATACGTATAAATTATAATTATGAATATCTTGAAGAGTAATTAACAAAAAATTTAGTAATAAATTACAATAATATATAAGTGAAAATAAGGTATATATGCAAAAATAAAAATTAAAAAAATTAAAAGCTTGATATGCTAAAATTAAAAGCTTTGCATCAAACTGTTTTTTTTTCCTCAAATAGTATAATGATTAAAATATTTCTATGAATTTTCATTCAAATATTTACAATTTAATATTAAAGTTTAATATGCTAAACAAAGCAAACAAGGTAATACAATATTCTCATACTAATTTTACGTAATGTTATTTCCAAAGATAATCTTATATTTCATGGACCAAGCACCCCCATAATAATTAAAGACTTAGTTTGACCAAAAAAAAGTTTAGGTAGTTAAAGCAAAAAAAAATGACATAATTTAAGTAATTTTTTGTTTTAAGCCTTGTTTAAATTTTCAGGATCTCACTGTGTATGAGCGAAAGCATTAAAGCAGAACCTGAACGATGCGTCAAAACCTGCTCAAACCGTAAAGATTAACTAACAGAAAAAATCCCGCATAAAAGGGTATGTCATTCAGAAGTACATACAAAATGATAAGATAGAAAGGCTTCCTTTCATACAGAGTGAAGATAGAGGGCTCGTGGCTCTGCTTGGTTCTTGGTCATAGATCTCCGAAAGCCCTACGAAGAAGTTATTGGATTAACCAGCTAGAAAAACAGATGGTCACATTAACAGTTAAGAAATAAACAACTTCTTTATATGCTCAATAGACTTGAAAATGGCATTTACCATTTGGTAAGACATTAAGTTATGAGCAAACAAAAAAATCTTACAAATACCTTTCTGACATACAAATACTTCTCTATGCTCTCCAAAAAATTCTCCCGTTACGACCTGCATGACAAATTATAGTGAGAGCAGTAGCCCATGGAAAGATCGTCCAATCTTTCGAGAAAAGCATCCACCGGCAAAGGAAAGGAAGAATGCGAAACGAGAGAGTCATCCTCTGCTGCTATGTAAAGAGCAGTTTTCCAGAGATCAACGCCTCTATTTATACTAATACTTGTTTCCCTCTTGATATTGGATAATTCTTTAATTTGTGAAACGAAACCCTTCCTGGCCTCCTGCTCAAAGATCATGCAGAAGAAAACATTTTAGATATAAACTTTAAACAACTAACTATATCAAACTTGATATATCATTCAAACATCATTGAGCTTAACCTATCATGTTGTTCGTTCTCGTATATATGTGACTCTAAGTGGGGCATAAAGACCTAAGTCAAAACCTCTATCCTCCACAAGAATCAAAACTATAACATTCAAATCGAGAGTTTCCATTCCCAATCAAATTGAGAGTCAGCCATAACTTTATCAATTCTTGGCAGATGATAAAAAAAACCAAAACAATGACATAGAAGATGAATAAAGTTCGTTTAACATTGATTAGAAGCAATCAACTGAGTTTTAGAAAGAAATTTCCATGGAAAACTACTCAAAATCCATTAGATTAAACTAATTCTAACATTTCTCCAACTACATTCCGAAATGCATAAAATAGTTTCCTCTTTACAGTAGAAAAGGAGAAGGGGGAGGAGGAGGAGTACTCTAGCGTGAGAGGTATCGATTCCAGAAGATTCAAGGGCATCTTGCAAGGCGAAGTCGAAATCGGTGGAAGCAGAAGCAGCGCCCGGAAAGGATCGACCACAGCGGACGAGATAGAGGTAAGACGGCGGAGATAACGACGTGTTTGAATGAATCTTGGAGGATTTAGGAGGAAAAGGATTGAGAATCGTTAGTGAAGAAGATGAACTCATCGATGCTTCGTTAGTGAATCAAACTTATTTATTTATTTTTTGTACTTAATTAAAAGATATAGGGACCCTTTCATTTTAGGCACTTGATTATTAAAACATTTAAGAGTTAACTGCATCATATATCCCCAAACTATGACTCTCATTTCAAATTAGTCCTTAAACTTTTAAACATTCCAATTACATCCTTAAACTATGACTCTCATTCTAAATTAGTCCTTAAATTTTTTAACATTCCAATTTTATCCCCAAACTATGAATCATTCTAAATTAGTCCCTATACTTTTAGATCTTCCAATTTCATCCCCAAATTCATCCAAATATGTAATCCATTTCAATCATAGTTTAAACTAAATTTTTTCCAAGCATATAATAATATAACTTGGTCTAATGATTTTATTAACAAAAGATGTGATTAGTATATACATATAATTTAGGATAAAATTGAAATATTCAAAAAGCTTGAGGACTAATTTAGAATGAAGATCACAATTTGGGGATGAAAATGAAATGTTTAAAAGTTTAGGAACTAATTTAAAATGATAGCCATATTTTAACGATGAAATTGAAATGTTTAAAAGTTTAGAGACCAATTTAAAATAAGGGTCATAGATTGAGGAGTATAATGCAATTAATTCAAATTTTAATTTGATCATTTTTTTAATTTCGTCTTTTGTAAATGTATTAATCATTATATATATATATATTATTGATTTCAAAATCAAAAAGTATTTTTTATTTTTTTTATTTAACGTAACATTTTTTTCATCTTATCTTTTTTATCAAAGAATTTCACTAAACTATAGGGGTCATTTTAGGCATTAAGCCTTTATTTGTAATAAAAAAACTTTTGGGTAAATTACTCGTTGAGTACCTAAACTATTATTCTTAGTCTATTTTAATACTTAAACTTTCAATTTTTTCAAAATCATACCTAAGATTAGTTTTTTGTTTTATTTTAATACCATACCGTTAATAGTTTTTGTTAAAAGTTTTTGTTTCATTTTAGTACTCATGTTCAAGATTTAACGTAAGTTTTGAAAAAAATTAAAAGTTTAAGTACTAAAACGGATCAAAATTGATAGTTTAGATACTACACGCATTAAGTTTTTAACAGTAGGATACTAAAATAAAATAAAAACTAAAAGTTATATATGATTTTGACAAAAATAAAAGTTTATGCACTAAAACGGGTCAAAACTGATAGTACTAAACGTATAATTTACCCAAAACTTTTTATTAGAAAAGCAAACATAACTTCTATTCCAAGAGTCCACAACATGAATCGTCTGGGATATAGTCCGACAGTTTTAAGATCAAAAGCTTTCATGGATAGGCTTGGACACCACCAAGATATGTTGCATTAACCGATGCAGATCCTTCGGTAGCAAAGTCGTCCCACGAATCGGTTGACAGTACGACGAAATCAGAGAATTTTCCGTTCTATAGAGATCCCATTTCGTTCTCGAGAAAGCATGCTCGAGCAGCTGAAATCGTGTGCCTGTCATGATGAAACCAGGAAAAGCATCTGCTAAAAGCATTGGAACGAAGACCGGGGGATTTCGTTTTCTCAAAAGCGCCCATGTCCGATACCCGCGTCAGTGTTCGGTACATTTCGGACATGGAGGATATGGAGGTATGATCCTCAAATATAGGAAAAAATCAAGCATACTTGTGACAATCATATATCCATATATATCCAACACCAATTCCAGGTATAGAAATTTAAAGCCAGTGCAGATAGAAGCAAATCATGATAAAGTAAACGTGCTTCGATGAAAAGCCGATGCAAAATCCGAAGAGAAGCATAGGAATGCTATTGAGAACAATGATTTTAAGTTTTTAACAGTTCAATTCGAAAGCTCAAATGATTTTTTTTATCAAGGAATGTATGGTTACTTCCTAGAGATTATGGTACAAGCAGCATGCAGCAAGCGTTTATATGTCGAGAACGAATAAGTACGCATCGAAGACTCGGAGAAAATGTAGTTCTAATGTTGCTTACCCGATTAAGGCGTCGTTCAGTGAAAGGCGTTCGGACGGAATCCAAGCATTTCCCCAGCCAGGAGGAATTCTTTTCATTGCTGTTCTTATGGCACGCAAAGGATAAGCACTTGTAACCTGGAGTAACAACAATAAATGAGGTCTCGAGAAGGCGTAGAAAAATATGTTACCCGGAGTTTGGATGATTGTCGATATATGTGTCCGACATGGGCCTGCTCGATTGTTTTGAGGTTTTTCCATATGTTTAAAGAATCTCATCCGCTTTAAACATGTCCGAATATGTTTCGGACATATATGTTAAGTTAACCACAGACTTTAGGGAAATGAAGAGTCCAAGTAACATAGGTAAAGACGAGAAACAAATATTAACCAGAAGATGATGCTCACAGGCCAGTCAGAACCTAGAGCCAACAATGCATTGCTTGATAGAAGTGAGCGGAAACGATAAGATCCCTTTTGAGCCCTATCCACCCCAAGCTTTCTGATCGCCGCATCTTCATCATCGAGCAAGTGATCGGGCTGTTGGCAATAACAACATCCAAGTATCATCAAACTGAAATCATTTCCAGTAGAATAATATAAGAGTATCTAAGTAACTAAGATCACCATCACATTGGATGCAACGATAATTTCAAGTTTTTAGTAAACGATAGAACAGAATGCAAAAGAGGAGATGGAATTCCGAATTCATGGTTCAGACATGAATTCACCCTGGAGTTAAAAATCCGGACAAAGATACGTTCACATTTATTAGCAGTGTCTTAGCATGAATCACGAAAATATAAACGGAGTGCCAAAAAGAATTAAAACCTGTACTGATGCAACAATCTAGCCGCTGTGCCCGGGGTCAAATGCTGGGCATGCTCATTCTGAAATCATAATCAAAAAGGAGAAAACCCGGTCAAGCTCATTTATTTAGAGAAAATTGAAGAGTAAGAGCAACATAGATTTAGACTATATTTTCAATTTTTGTTTAGCTATGGAACGGTTGTATTTCTTCCACCAAGAAATATCAACCCTGAAACCAGAAGCAACTAAATACACATACCTCCATTAGCTGTACTCATAATTGTACCACCATTCGGATCTTTTGATAAATTAGTGACTCCAGCCAACTTTAGCGCCACCGAATTAGCCAAGCACATATGACCATCCATCCTTGTCAGCCAAACCTGCAAAATAAGATATCATTACCATGCTCGATATATAAATTACCCTCATGTTGACATAAATAGATATTCTCAGTCAAATTCCAGCTTCTTATAGGATTATCAGCTGTGACCTCGTCTATCCAAGATGCCACTGGCAGTTCCCCTCCCCAAAGATCATTGTTCCATCAACCACCCAGTATCCATGAACCCCTTTTGGCATCTACAATTATTCAGAAGAACAAGGCAATTGAGAAAGTTACACGATATTGACAAAAGCATGTAAGAAGCAAAAACACGGGAAGTAACTTTATTCAATTACATAACTACACCGGTATCGTCAGATTTTACCACTGTATTGGCTTCTACCTTTACAACTTTTTGGACTAAATCATAATTTATCATTTTAAGGGGGGGCAAAATGTTTTTGACCACTAACTTCTAATTTTTAAAGGGACTGTGTGCATAATTTCACCTCTGATCTTTGGTGGTCATATCCCTATTTTCATGTATTGGACATGAGTTTCAGACACGACACTTCAACAAAAACATAGAGTTGCAACATAGACCATGGTCATGGATAGCAATGAACAAATAGGGACAACACCTAACCCTCCGCACCTATAAACTAAGTAAAGCATAAACATAAAACTACCTTACTAGGACGTTAAAAGCAAAAAAACTACCTCTCAAAAGTAAAAAATATAGGCATGTTTTGGGAAAACTTCTAGATGATTGATATGTTTGACAACGAAAGGGATATCGCATGAGATTCCTTTTCTTTTATCTATGGTTAATGCTTGTGAAAGATAGGCATTCATAAAGAAACTTATAGGGAATGCCATGTAAGAATACTGAAATCTTAGTCTGCCATAGTTTTAACACCAGCATGCTAATAAGTAATAACGACACCTATGATAAAACTAAAGGGTTCTCAACTGACTGATTATCATCCCATGTTGCCATACCCTACCATGTATGAAGATCGAGCAAAGTTTCTGTCCAGGATATCTGTTCTATCTAGTAGCAACTGGCTACAAAAAAGTGATGCACGACTACGAGCTTGCATGCTGGCTATAAGGATAAGGAATTCACCCACAATCATTTAGTTTTCGACAGCCGTCGCAAATGCCGTGCCGGAGAAGTGCCTGTGTTGAGCACATGTCCAACACTTGGACAACCCCCAATACCAAGTGTCCGTGCTTCATTTACAACCGGGATTTAAAAACAGTCAAGAATGATCTCTAGTCTCTACTGTGCACAATATCAGCTCAGTGAAGGTGAAGCCATTTGAAAAAGAAATGGCACAAAGAAAAGAATATCAGTAGGTGAAATTTCAAAATCTGAAGTCCTGCAGAGATCAAGTGCACGTGAGAATCAATAAATCCGGGCACCACGTTCTTTCCTTTAAGATTCAGCTCTTTAGTGCCATATCCTGACAAATCCTGCATTCAAAGCTTAATACGTGAAATAAAATAAAACAAAATAAAACTCCATTAATAGAATTCAAGTCGCCATAACGGCAAAGAATAATACAACGAATTCTCATTTTGTTAAAGAAGAAAGCATAACCGCAGTAGCCAAAGAAAAAACCACATCCAAAACACAAATACATAAATGGGGTTTAAATGGGTGTAGACGTTTGATTTCGACCATATCATATAATGAATATATTATATAATAATATATATATTTATACTTTTCTTTTTATTTTACAGAACCAAATAAGTATACAACGGCCCACTTGTGTTCAATCCAGTAACAAACCCTAAGGCTGATTAGGGTTCCTGATGTCTCAGCAGCTTTCCATCTCACCCTAGCATCGCATGGTCAGCAGTCCACGTCCAGGAATCCCACGACCGAATCCCTCGGTCAATAACCATCACCAATGTCCGAGTTTCACGGTCACACGCAATGATCCCGAAACGTCCGACAACACCAACAACCCACGAAGGCAACCAAGTTAGAATAGGACTCAAATGCTTAGCAAATCCTAGGCTATAAATAACGCATGTAATCAACACAGAAAGGGGGATTTTTTTTTCTTTACACACAGACACACATAAATACACACGATATACTACGAGAGATCAGGGGAGATACAACAGATTCGAAGTTTTACTTTGTAACCAGTTCAAAAAGAAATAAAGGTAGCATTTTTTTACCTTTTTTGTTGATCTTTCGCCTTTGCATGTTAGTATTCCTCTATGATTTGTTCAAAAACAAAAGAAAACGTTTTTTTGGCCGATGAACCAAGGCGCTTTTGAGATCTGTTTTCATAGATCTAGCCTCCAAGGCCGATTTTTCTTGGGAAACTATTATGATTTTCGAAACAAGGGCTCAAGGATCTTTCAAAAAAAAATAAAGGTTTTTTTTTCTCATTTTCGCCACCGATGAAGGCGGCCGGCGCCGTTCACGGTGGCCTGCGAGGCGGAACGCGGTGGCCGGATACTGGGTTCTTGAAGAACCACAGGGGCCTGTTCTTGAATCTCAAGAACGAACCAGAGAAAAGGGAGAGAAGAAGGAGGGGCGTTTGATGAAGAGAAGGGAAATGAAAGCTTTTAAATTTTTTTTTGAGTTAAATAATACCCATACATACGCCAGAATCCATGTGTTTTGCTTTAAAATAGGGTAAACTTCCTTTTTGGTCGCTCGTCGATTTCAAGGAGCATTTAAACCCCTAATTTCCTTTTAATTTGGCCACTTGATTTATTTCCATTTTCAATTAACCCCTGTTGAATTCAATTACTTTAATTCTATTTATTTATTTACTTTTTATTATTTAATTACGTTATATTATATATTCTGTTATTATTATTATTATGGTATTATATATATATTTCATTCTTATTATCGTTTTTTTCATTTACTTCCTATTACTTATTATTTTTTAATATCATTTTTTATTATTATTATCATTCTTATTTATCATTTATTTATTTATTAATTATTTTATTTTATTTTATTTTATTTCTTTTTTTTGGTTAAATTTATTTATTTTCTTTATTTTTATATCTAACATGTTTCTCAACTCTTTAAGGGTACATTTTCAATCGAACATAGGTAAGTTTTGGATCGTTATTTTTACCTTTTAATTTAAAATTACAATGTTCTTAATTAAGACAACTGGAAATTACGTAGTACCGAAAGGGCGGTTCAAGGGTGCTAATCCTTCCTTGACCGTAACCGACTCCCGAGCCCGACATATTTTTGGAAAGACGCAGATCAGGTAAGAAATAAGGTATCCGATCAACCCATTTATTTTTAAATAAATGATCGGTGGCGACTCCCTAATCAATTAATCAAGTCGAAGCCCAATTCCGGGGCCCAAACCGAAAGACGGTTGCGACAGCTTGGCGACTCCGCTGGGGACGTAAGTGAGTCAGGCTAAGGTAATTTCCAGTTGTCTTTTTAATGAAAAGGTAAGTTTAAATTTTAAGGTAACATTTCGATCCTTATTACTTACTTTTGATTATATTTTCGAGTAAATAGTTGTACTGACCGTTTTATAATGATTTCAGCCCTTAAAGATTTTTCATCCAAAGGCTCTATACCCGAGCTCCGAACCCGTTTTAAGTGGGGGTGAAAGCGACGCCTTCGTGTGAATTTATTCACCGTATGGGCCTAGCAAGTAGCCTTCGGGATTCATATACCTTATGCCTTCGTGTGAATTTATTCTCCGTATGGGCATAAGGGAATGTGTCCTCTCGAGTTTAACTTAGTCCACACAAGCCTGTGATGGGTTTCGGACTAAGGGTCTGGTCGGTCCAAGGGGGCGCCAGCAAGGAGAACTCGAGTACCGTTTTTAGAACCCAAACCGGGAGGCTTTGAATAAATAGAGCCTACCCCAAAACCACATTCCAAAACCTAGGACATTTCTTTCCTAACCTTTTTATTTTTTATGTTTTTTCATTTACCATTTATTTTTATTTATTTTTATCTATTTCTATTTTACTAACCTTTTTGCCTTTGTGTTTGTTTTTAGCATTTGCATCATAACAAAAGGCCATTGATCCCTAAAAAGGTGTTTATTAAAACTCAAATAATCTGAATTTATGGACAAAGGTGTCGTAATACAAGAGATTGAAAACGCTGAGGCACGACTATGGTCCGAGAAGACTCAAAGTGAAAAGAGAGACAATCTTCAAGGAAGCTATGTGTCAGAGTTGGTTCGCTACACCCCTATCAGCCTAAAACAAAAACAATGTACAAGAGCTTCGAGATATCTGGGATAGTTGGAAGAATGATCGGAGACAGAAGTTCAGCCAACGGTACGGTGACATTGCACTCTTGCTTCATGTTAAAACTGATGAGCCCTTAATCAGAGCCATGGTCCAATTCTGGAACCCGGGATATAGTTGCTTCACTTTTAACCAAGAGGACATGGTGCCTACCATCGAAGAATACACTACACTGCTGCATTGTGAAAGCATCAAGCTTGAGCGAGCCTACATTAAACACATCAAAAGCCAGCCCTTCAAGAATGCACTGGCCAAAGTTGCAGGAGTAGATGAGAAATGGGTAATCGATCGGACTCAGCGTAGAGGCAGTGGAGAAGGAATTGAATGGATCCACATAAAGCAACTAATGAAAAACCACCCTGATGAGTGGAAGACTATAGACCTTTTTGCACTGGGTCTGTACGATTTGATTATCTTTTCGAAAAGCTTTGGGGTGCATTGACGCTGCCGTGGTGGAACTATTTGAGCAACTTTCTAAACGAGTTAACCCAGCACCAGCCATCTTGGCCGAGACCTTTCGATCGCTCAACCATTGTCGAAGAACTGGCGGAGGAAGATTCACCGGGTGCATTCAGCTCCTTCAGGTCTGGATTCACAGCCACTTCGGGAAGACTGACGGGGTTGCCTACCGCCGTTTCAGCACCACCTATTCACCTCTAGGTGAATTTATTACCTTAAAATGGCATGAAGGCGCTTCGAAAGAAAAATGGATGAAGGTCTTTACGCATCTTCAAGACCGAGATATCGTCTGGAGAGCCCCTTGGTTATTCCTCAGTGATGTTCTTTTTCGATGTGGTGACTCCGACACTGTGACCTTACTTGGACTTTGGGGAGCAGTCGGGTATGCTCCGCTATTAGCACTTAGACAATATGGAGCACGTCAGTTTGTCCCAGCAACATGCGGGTTAGCTAGGTCAGAGTTTGAGTATCACGGCGACAGCTATAAGAAGATGATCAAAGAAGCAACCGATTCGTGGAGGAAAGTATTCCGGATGGATGTTGTAGCTGCCAGAAGCATGCTCACTCCGGATTACGTGGAGTGGCGAAGATTGAGAAAGAATGACAGTATCCCGGTTCCAGACTGTGATGACACCCGGACCATGGAAGAACATCTCAGGCATGTCCCTTCTGAACTCGAGATAGCCAAGACCGAGTTTGAAGCCGTGAATAATGAGCTGAAGCAAAGAATAAAGGAACTTGAAGCTGAACGTTATCAGTGGAAGCTTGATGCTGACTCTCAGAAAGATCGGGCAGAAAAACTAGAAAAAGAACAAAAAAGAGTCCGTTTTGAGCTCGAAGACTTGAGAAAGGGGTATCAAGATAAGGTCAAGGATAACTCCAAGTTGAAGGTAACCTCTGAATACTGGAAAGACGAAGCTCATAGCCTGAAAAGGAAGTTTGAGGGGCCTGATGAGAAAGCTTGGAAGGAACAGATGAAGACTGCCCAAAGACGCTTGGCAGATAGTCAATATCAGAACCAGCGCTTGAGAGTTCGGATAGCTGACTTAGAAAAACAACATGAGAAAGATGGAAGGACAATAGCTGAGTTAGAAGCTATTGTAGATGGGTTCAAGAGGCAAGCAAACGAGCTTCAGATAGTGCCTTTCGACGGAGGATTACAATGGCGTTTCCGTTGGGAGCAAGCACAACGAAGGGTGAGGGCCCGAGACGCAACCATCCGAGATTTCCTGGATCAAGTGCAAAAGGCAGCCCGTCATCTTCACGGCCTAGCAAAGGAAGCTGGTGTGGTTCGACAAGGCATTCAACCAGTGTCGGATGAAGGCAGAAGACTTGTCAACCTACTGGAAGCTGTTCGAGGTTTAGAGGATTTAGTCCGAATGTACCTTTAATTTGTTTTTATGTCTCTTAAAAGATAAGACATTTTTGTCTGAACAAGGGTTATTTATAATAATGAGCACTTTTCTGGATCAATGCCTCCAATTGCATACATCATGTATTACATTTCTTGCATTTTATATTTCATGTCTGTTTATTTTATATTTTTTTCCATGTTTTTACATTCGTATTAACTAACAGAACATGTCTCAGACACCGAGCTTACCACCACAAGCATCAGATACACATCACCCGCACAATACTCGAGCGAAAAAGAGACAAATGGAAGCCAGAATGGAGAAGATCGAAGAGCACATGGCAAGACTTCAAAAGGAACTAGAAGATAAGATGGCTCAGAACAGTGAAAG